TTGTTATACATATATGTTAAATAGTATCATTAATGATACATCAAATATTAATTTAATTATAAAAGTGCAACCATAGGTTTCTCTTGATTGCAATATGAAAATTTGTTTTTTATTATGATCGTTGTTTTTTTGTTTATATGCCTTCTGATATGAAGTAACTATAAAAAGGTAGATTAAGTATCGCTAGCAGTTCTATATTTCACACAGTATTAGCGTAGAACGATTATTATTCATAAGAATTAAAACATTAAATTGAATAAAGTCAAGGTATTATGAAATAATAGAAGTTGTTATTTTTCAGGTTAGAGGTATTTCTATATCTTTATTTCTATATCTTAATTTCTATATATTTCAAGTACAATAAACAAATACAACATATAAAGTTTCATGATTCATCATACTAATAGTTAAGATATGTAGATATTCAATAAGAAAAAGAGTTACTATTTAGAAAAACAATGACTACATATAATTCATATGATATACAAGTGGTTCAAAGACTCGGATACTTTCATGAAGAATAGTTCGACAGAAAAAAAATTAAAAAAAGATGTAATACTCATGTATGAAAAAAATATAATATAATAACATGAATAAACAAGTTACTGTTAGAAAAAAAAACAAATATGTACGAATAGTTTCAAAAATACAGCATTAAAATAAATAAAATACACTGCCTGAAACAAAAATAATAGAGAACAGAGAAATCTGACCATAGGATAATTAAAAGAAACATAAATAATAACTGTTGAATAACATTTGATTAGCAAGAACATATATCTGTTCATCTGTTATATACGTAATACTATTATTCTATTGAGCTGTTGAACCAATAGCATTTTGATCACGAGTTGTATTGCTTGAAGATAACGTTTGAAGAGTAGATAAGGCACGTGTTGTTTGAGATAAAGTAATAGCTTCACTTGTTTGCTTTGACAATCTACGTCTTTTTGTTGTTGTTGTTGTTGCTATATTAGTATCAAACAAAAAATTGGATGATATATTTGCTATGATTGTTAACTTACTTATTTGTTTTTTTGTACTTGATAAGGATACTTTTTCTTTTAATTCGTTCAATCTATTGCTCGAAGTGATCTCTTCTCCATATTGTCCTTCTTTTCTAGTACGTTTATTTGTTTTCGATGGTAATGTTGGAGGAGAAACATGTTGTTGCAGTAAATCAGTAACTATTGAACGTACAGCACTTGATGGACTTAATTGAATCGATGTTACTGGATCAGCTATTTGTTGGTTAAGATCAAGCTGAGCAGATTGTACCCTATGCAATGAAGGAACAAAACTTGATGTGTCAACGTTTGTTAACTCGGTATATATTCGTTTTTCTTCATCTATTAAATTAGGTGAAAATCAATTTATAAAATTTATTTCTTTAACTTTATCTCTCTTACTATCTTTTTCGAAATTAAATATCGACGTTTGTTGTACTTGGTATCCATTCGAATCGCCAGAATTTCGACCATCTGTCGTTGGCAAAGTACTTGGATCAAATCCAAGACTATAGTTAGAAAAACATTTAAAACATTTTCGAAGATCTATATCTTTTTCTTACATTTGTTGGCCATCATCTTCTTCAATCCAATCAACATCATTTAAAGATATTCCATTAAAACTGTTGATTGATTGAGGTATTTGCATGAACGAGGAGCTAAAAAAGCATCATTTTTTATTGAATACTTACAATTACGAAGAACTATTTAAAAATTATTAGTTACTTTGTGTCAATAGGTATTATTGTATTATTAAATTCATCCGTTGGTAAATCCAAAGTATTGAATGAAATGGAATCCAAAATTGTATTCGAAATGAATAATGGAAATCTATGAGAAAAAAAATTAATGATTATTAATAATACTAGTTTAGTCAAGTTCAAAAATATCAAACCTTAGTGAATCATATGGATTTTCAAACGACGAACATGTATTAGAATTTTGGTTTGTTCTTTGTAATCGATTGGTGTTACTACAAAATAGAAAGCATAGTGTATAAGAGATCGAGCTTGAGAATTCAATCATCTTCGCACAAAAAGTCTTACATTGTTTGATCGAGTGAATGAAATACATTAAGATTTGTTGTAATTAATGGATTCTTTTTTGGTGTTGCTGCACGTGTTGAAATCGAAATATTTTCATTTAAAACATAATTTAATTCATTTTCACTATTATTATTAAAACCTAATGATGTTGTTGATTTATTTTGATCGTGCATATTAAATGATGATGGTTGAATAGATGGTGCTGCAATAGGAGTGTCACTAATAATAGAAAAAGACACTTTTTAGGGGAACGTTAGAAGATCAGTTGAACTGAAAAGTGTTTTACAATCGAGAATATTATATCACCTTGTGGTTTGTGGACATTGATTCAGTTGTTTTGTTGCCAACGGTTGTCTTGCTACTTTCTCCTTCATTGAATTTGAATCAAATGGCCATACACCTGCACGTGAAAAACCAGCAAGAACTTGTTTCGGTGTAAAAGCGGATGAATAAAGTTCTTTAAATAAAGCAGGTAGATCGATTTTCCGAATCGTTTTTCGACCACTACGTAAGAAATATGTTGTTACAATACGTTTCCATGATTGCTTTGCAGAACTAAAATTAAATGTAGAAAATTTCCAGGTTGAATATAGTTAAAAAAAATTCAAGAAATATTATCTTCAGCAAGATAGAAGAAATAAAATATGTCTGAATACCTGAACGTGGCAGTATCGAGAGGTTGCAAAGCGTGAGTGCAACATGGTGGTAATAACAATAAAAGTATTTGATTTTGTTTTGCAAGTTCAATAACTTCAATACTGATATGACAAGAATGATTATCCATAATTAAAAGCACTGGTTTAGATACATTTTTTGTATGTTCAATGAACGATTTAAACCAATCAGTAAACAAGCGTTTTGTTATCCATCCAGAATCAGATATAGCAAATGAAGAACCGGGTGGTCCACCTAAAGTCCATTGGGGATTCAAGTTTTTTGCTGAGTATATAATAAATGGAGGTAGTATATCCCCAGCTGCATTTCCACATATAAGACTTGTCGTAAAACTTTTTCCACTACCACCAGATTGTTCATAAGCTTGTTTTGTTTCATGACTAACAATAACCATTTCACCTAAATAACAAAAAATAATATTTCATTTTTGCTTTGTATGTTTAAATTTCTCTTTTGTTATGGAGGTCTTCAACTTACAAGCGGTTTCATCACTGAATCCACTTTCATCACAATTATAAATAGCATGTGGTCGTTCTATTAAATTATTTGTGCGAAGGATAAGTTCGAGTTTTTCGAACCAACCACATCGTATATCTTCAGTAAATCCGTTCCGACGTGATGCTTCAATTTTTTTTTCTTTGATCACCTTCAGTTCACCCTTCCACCGATTTAAAAAATATTTAAGCCATTTTCGTCCAAGTTCAACAGATTTTCCTAATTGATATATTTAATTTATTGAAAAAAATAAAAATATTTATAGAAAAATTTCGTGATCCCCTACCGGTAACAAGCTTCACATATTCTGATCCTAGTTTCATGACAACCACTTTCATTAAACGTAGACCAATAAATTCAAGATTTTTTAATAATTCGACCAGGTATTGTTCTTGTTGACTTGTAAGTATAGTTGGACGACCACCTCCGAATCTCATTTGTGAATTGTAATTGTGGTTACGCACTGTGCTTCCAGGAACACCGTATTTCGATGAAACATCAGTCGATGTAGCACCATTTTTATATTCTTCAACAGCTTTTAGCAAATTTTCTTTCGAATAATTTGATCGTTTCATATTTCGATAACAAATAAGTATCACACTTGTATATCAATAAACAATTGGAAAATATATCTTTAATTCTAACAAAATGAATAATTCGAAAATAATAGAAATGGATTATTGTGTACAGTTGTTTTTGTTGAAATTTGTTGGGATTGAGTTTCCTCAGAATAAAATGTTAATCTCGTCTACGATTGGTATAATGTTTTAATGAATCATAATTCACATTTTCTTTCGTTTAAAACTTACAATAAATAATTCCAATTATTTCTGAAAAATCATATTTTCTGAAACATCAATGCACTGATATTATCAATTTCAATACTTTATTCAGATGATCAATAGATGTCGATGATTTATTGAGAAATCTTTATTATCATAGTATAATTAAGTCTGAGGAATACTTTGAAATAAGTGAAAATATAAAAAAATGGTAGATAATACACTTAAGCTCCATAGGTCATAATTAATATTCCCGATTTCATTTGGAAGCTATCAAAACGAGATCATTGCCATCAATTCCGTTGATATGATTCAGATTCAACGTAAAACGAAATCAATTTGAGCTGAACCGCTGGATATTAATGCAGGATGGATCAAGAAACATTTTTTGTAGCGAAAGCAAAAAGAAATTTTGAAGNGCTTGCAAGTGGTAGATTGGTGTTGAACCCATGAATACGGATCCTATGAGAAATGTACAATGTTGATCACGATTCTATTCATATCTTTGACTAGATAGCAGGTGCTAGAAGGATTGTGGACCTCTCTGTATAAATCCTATGACAAATGAACAATACTCACAAAGATAATATTCACTTCTTTTACTCTCTTCGAACTTCGCAAGCGATGTTAAATTCATGAATAAAGATTGTATGGTAAAGAGACAGGGTTCACCACGATTCTTTTCAGATCTGTCACTAGCTTGTATGTAGTAAAACGATGTTGAATCCTTGAATAAAGATCATGCGTCAAATGAAGAGTATACACGAAGATTATATTCATATCTTTGGCTAACTTTCAAGTAGTTTAACGATTTTTGAATCATGAATAACGATCGTATGAGAAATGGACATTGTTCATTATGATTACATTCATATCTTTGAATAGTTCACCAGTGGTAGAACGTTATTGTACATACCAGTAAAAACCGCATAATAAATGGATGCTATTTACAAAGATCCTATTCATCTCATTTATTCACTTCGACGTGGTAGAACGATATAAAACCTATGACTAAAGATCATCCGTCACATGGACAGTGTTGAGCAAAATTATATTCACCATTTTCGTTCGCTTCGAAGTGATAGAGCAATGCTGAGCGTAGTAGTAAAGATAGTCTGCAAAAATGAACACTACCTACTAAGAATTCATTCATAGCTTTGATGCGGTTCGAAGTTGTCTAGCGATGTTGAACGAATGAATAGAGATCGTATGGCAAATAGACAGTATTCATTAAGATTCTGTTCATCTCTTTGATTACCTTCGACGTGTTAGCACGAAGCTGAATCTATCCGCAAAATCGTCTGCAAAATGAACACTATTCAGAAGGTCTCTATTCATTCCTTTTATTCGGTTCGGAGTGGTAGGACAACGTTGAACCTACGTGTGCAGATTGAATGGAAAATGGACATTATGAAGAAAGATTCTATTCATCTCTTGCGTTTCGTTCGAAGTGCTAGAATCATGTGTGAACCATGAGTAGACATCGTACGGTTGATTGACAGTAATGAGAAAGTTTCTATTCATGCCTTTCATTCGCAAGAATGTTATAGAACGATGTGAAGTCTATGACTAAGAGTCGTTTGTCAAATGAACCGTATTCAGGAGGTTTCTATTCAACATTTCGTTTCGGTGCGAAGTGGTAGAACGATCATGAACCTAACAGTGGAGATGAAATGCTAAATGGACACTTTTTAGCAGGGCTCCATTCTTCTTTATGAGTTACTACCCAGTGCTAGAGTGATGACCCACGTATAGGAAAGGTCGTTTGGCAAATGGATACTATTAACAAAGATACTATTCATTTCTTTCATTCGCTCCAATGTGGTAGAACGAGATTGCAATTACGAGTTAAAATCATTTAGGAAACGAACACTTTGCACCAACATTTTATTCATCATTTTAATTAGCTGCCAAATGTAAACACGATGTTCAAAGTATCGGTAAAGATCGAATGGCAAATGGACAGTATTCATCAGGATTCTCTTCATTTGTTTGATTCCCATAGAAGTGGTAGAACAACATTACCCTATTAATATAAGTGACATGCCAAATGAATACTATTGATGAGAAATCTGTTCATATGTTTGAGTCACTACGAAGTCGTAGAGCGATGTTGAACGTACAGCCAATGTTCCTAATAAGAACAGCTATCTTGGAGGTGCGAAGAATTTCATTATTCACTAAATAAATTTATATGAAAATTGAATTTTTTTTATATTTTCTAGTATAGAAATGTTTGTTCCGTTAGATGATGCAAAAAAAACTCAAATATCTCGAGAAATAAAAAAGCAATCAGCGGTAGTTTGCGAATAAATGAATTTGTTCTTATTAGGAGCTCTGTTCCTTATAAGAACAATAAGCCATAAAATGTTCCTAATAAGAACAGGCTATATAAAATACAGGGAGAACGAAAAAGTTTTACTAAATGGGTGTTTTTACTATCTAAACTTGAATTTTTTTTTGTGCTTCCGTCACCAAAAATGTTCCTTGTTAATCAAGGAATATTTATCTAGAGGTTTAGATTTTTTCAACTTATTATGACAGAGATATGAAAATTCTAAAAATAGCTTGTCTGTCCTTATTAGGAACACTGTTCTTAATTCGAACACCAAGCGAAAAAATGTTCCTAATAAGAACATACTATGCAAAATGCACAGAAAATAAAATATTTTTACTAAATGAACTTTTTCCATGCCTAAACATGAAAATTTTTTTGCATGCCCGTCATCAAAAATGTTCTTGGACTACTGAAACATATACTTCCAGCGGTTTGAAGTATATGTAGTTTTCCTTTTATGTAAAGGGCATGAAGTGAAACTGTGTTATTAGTAGTAAATAATGTGCTATTTAACTTATGCTATACCAATCATAGCTGCATTTCAATTGAAAATATGGCAATTTGTGCTGCATTTATATCTATTTATACAATGAAGCTATCTTCTGATGTAAAACTCATGGGAGTTTTATTGAGCATATCGAACAGTCAATTGTTTGACTGTATTAAAAAAGAGTATTTGTGGAACTTAAATTTCAAAGAAACTTGAATTTGATAAAGTTAAAAATTCATTATTGTTGTTCTGCTCATTTTCGTTTATTTTTTTCAAGTAGTTTTAAAAAATGAATGATAACTGTTGATACAACAGTTCAAGAACAATTATGATTGTGGCAAATATCAATAGAGACTGAAAATAACAAAAACAATTACTATTTCAAAAATGACAAATAAACAACGATTCTATAAGTTACATAGAAACTGAATATATGACTGGCTTTAGTTTAACACCGTATTAATTAGAAAAAAAAATTGATACAGTATATCAATAAAAACATGTTGATGAAGAAGATGAACAAATTCAGTAAGAAAGTACAAAAAAAACCTTTCATAAAGTTTGAACAGAAAAAAAAAATAAGAAAATAAACGAACTATATTCGACCAAACTATTCAATTACAAAGAGTATCTAATCAGAAAAAAAACAAAGAAAAATACATAATTATAATTGCGGAATGAATGCTGATAAAATGAACATAAGCATCTTGTAGTTAGTTATTTGAAGAATGTTGTTGTTGTGTTTGAAGAGATGGACTAGTATTATTTTGACTAGAACCTTCATTACTTGGTGACGGTGTTTCAAGAGTCGCAATAGCACGTGTTGCTTGTGATGAAGTTATAATTTCACTGTGTTGTTTTGATATCTTACGCTTTTTTCTCGTTGTTGTTTCTAAATCAGCACCACTAGCGAGAACAGAAGTTGAAGTAGTTTGTTTTGTTGATTTGATTGACCGTTTCTTCAAATTTAACGTTGCTGCTTTTTCTTTTAGTTCATTTAATCTATTACTAGAAGTAATTTCTTCACCATATTTCCCTTCCGTTCTTGTTCGTTTGATTCTATTCGAAGATGAAGCTGAAGAAGGAACATGTTGTTGAAGTATATTAGTAAATATTGAGTGTGCCGCACTTGAAGGACTTAATTGTCTTGATGGTATTGAATTAATCATTTGTTTTTCAAAACTGAATAAATCATGTTGAAAGTTTTCAGATGGTGGATCAGAACGTTGCATATTAACTGATGTTAACTCTGTGTATGTTCTATTTCCTTCATAATCTAATAAATCAATTGATAATCAACCAATGAAGATTATTTTTCTCTAATTATTTCTCTTACTCTCTTTTTCAAAATCAATTATTGACATGAGTTGTTGATGATGTTCATTTGGATAACGAGAATATCGCCCATATGTTTTCGGTAAAGTGCGTGGATCAAATCCAAGACTAGAAAAAAAAGAACAAAGAATTAGAAAACTTTCTTGAGCATTTATGTTGTCCTTACATTTCTTGTCCATCATCTTCTTCATTCGAATCAGCATCAAATACAGGTGCTTTAGAAAAACTTTCATTTGATTCACCTATTCGTTTGAAGGACAAACTTAAAAAATAGATAATTGATTTACACAAAACCCATAGTGACAAAATAATTTTCTCGTAAAATAATTTTTTACTTTGTATTGATAGGTAAAGCTGAATCGTTGAATTCATCTGATGGCAAATCGAAATTATTGAATGAATTTGAATTTAAACTTGCATTAGAAATAAATGATGGAAAACTATAACAAAAAAAACACATTGATTAATAAGAATACTGATTTATATCAGCTAAATATATCAAACCGAAGTAAATCAGATGGATTCACGAACGACGAACACGACGTATGTGGAGTTGGATTCGTATTTTGTAATCGAGTGTTGCCTCTAGAAAATAGAAAACATCGTATCCATGAAATGTAAGATTGCAAC